AGACAGCAAGCACAACACAGTACAAAAGGAGAAGGGAATGTTGAATTCCAGTGCAAGACACAAACACAGCACAATTAGGGAATCAAGAGGAAGCAATCATTTCACAAATAATGAAATTAGGCATTTATATTCAATCAGGATTTTTTTTTTAAGCTTTAAAAGTCCAGCATAAGGAAAGGAATTGGGAAAAGAAGCAGGGGAGAGGGGGTGGGGGAACTAAGCTTATCTACAATCACCATTTTACCAAAAAACACACTGGTTCAACCACATGAGAAGTGGAGGATAAACCTGCCTACATAGCCCAACAGATATTGAGAGCAAATGCCAAGACAGTCAGGTCTAGGGTTGATGTCACAACTGGCTAAAGAGTTTTTACAGGGAAACTTATTCCACAAGGACTGGTCTCTCATCAACCTGGGTTCATAACAGACTAAGTTCCTTTGCATTTGCAGCAGAAGGCCAGAACTTTACGTGGAACAAGTTTACTCCAAATAATGCTCACACTGCTGGTTTTAACCAGTCATGGACTCACAAGTGGCTCCTAATAGACTTCACCATTTCTAGGAGAAGGTTCTACAGATTACCAGGGATTTAAATTTAAGCAAACCACTAAAAAAGGGAAACACTAATGATATTCTGGCACTGCACAAGCTGTATGCCTGTCATCTCTGCCAAGGACATGGGTGGACTTGGCTCTGTTTCTTAGCTCCATGATCTCCAACAGTGATGAAGTGGAACTGGGACCTCCCCCATGTCGAAGGAGGTTACCCAAAATTCTCATCCCAGCTTCTGAAATAAACAGCAGACTATCAGGGGCTATTATTAGGAACCATGCTCCTGTGAATTCTGTGGAAATGAAAGCCTGTTTCAGTTCATGCCAAGTCTTTTCATGGTCCGCCAGCGATCCTTAATCATCACAGCTGTTCGGTTAACAAATGGGTAATTTTTAGAAATGGCAGCCCAGTTTCCTTCCCCATATTTCTGCACTCCAGCCTTGACCCACTCGCTTTCTTCTACAGTCCACTTCTGCAAAAGAAAACCAAAAGATTTATCACAACCTTTCCTCTCCACTTCCTTACATTTTCCCCAATGTAGTTATAAGGTAAACTCAAGAATCCCAAAAGAATCATCTGAACCTGAAAGCACGGCTTATTTTTTTAAAACTTGGAATTGACAGTTTATGAGCCCTGTGAATCTGGACACGGAGAAATTCTTTTGATCCTCAAGTAACCATCACTTCTGCACTTCAAACTGCAAACATATCTACGTCGTTCATGGTCCAAAAAATGTGTCCTCTGTCCTCCTGTGCTTTTCTTCCAGAGGATAACTATTACTTTAACTTAGTTTGGATTATCTAAAACTCTCAAAAAAAAAAAACAAAAACAGCCGGGCGCGGTGGCTCAAGCCTGTAATCCCAACACTTTGGGAGGCCGAGGCGGGTGGATCACGAGGTTAAGAGATCGAGACCATCCTGGTCAACATGGTGAAACCCCGTCTCTACTAAAAATACAAAAAATTAGCTGGGCATGGTGGCGCGTGCCTGTAATCCCAGCTACTCAGGAGGCTGAG